GAAAGAGGCAAGTTGCAAAGCTGTCCCTTACCTGTCCCTTTTCACGCCGACCGAGCAGTAGAGACAAGCCCTGTCACACCCCCGGGTGTGGTCTCGGCCCTTCTCTCCTGAAAGGATCTAGGACTCCTTGGGGACGTTGCCGACTTTGGGTCTGAGGTCGGGGACATGTAGGATGGTCCCAGAACATCTTGGCCAGGAAGCACAGGGAAGCTCAGTGGGCTTGGGGCCGTTCGGATGGGACAGAGAGGGGACAGCTGCGTGATGGCGAGGATGTCACTGCAGCAGGCCGACAGCCAAGCGTGCCCACGCCGTGGTTTGTGACGGCACTTTAAGCTGCGTGGTCGTTACTGGGGAGCGCTAAAGAACCCACTGGTGAGTAGGGGGCAATCAAACACGAGTCCTGCCTCGCCTCGTGCAGACCGTCCCCGGTGCCCGTGCAGGGGAGGGGAGGATGGTGCAGGGGTACCCCGTTTCACACTGCCGGCTAGTTGACGGCTAGACCCGGAAGGAGAGCAGACCATCCCCGGTGCCCGTGCAGGGGAGGGGAGGATGGTGCGGGGGTACCCCATTTCACAGTGCCAGCGGGTCGATGGCTAGACCCGGAAGGAGCACGGGCCGGACATCCGTGCCTCTCCTCTCCCCAGCTGGTGGGGCCGTCGGTCTCAGGGCTCAGCGCTCTTGCATGGCTACCATATCAGATGGCTTGACCCCATGTGACTCCCTGGACAGAAACCGCAGGGACGAGAACAGTCAGGTGGTGCCGGGGTGTGGTCAGGGAGTCCAGCCTGTGCCGTGCCGTGGGACAGGTAACCCAGCTTCTTGGACAGAGAGAAGTTGTAGCTGAACAGACCTGAGACAGCCAGTGTGATGTGAGTCTGGTCCCAGGAAAGTTCTCTTAATGTACGAGATTCACGATACAGCTGGAGACTTGAACCCTGGCTGTTTGACGGTCCTGGTAAGGATGCGTGGAAGGAATTGCTGTTCGCCTTTTCGGGTGTGGCGATGGCGTCTCGGTTCTGTTGAGGCACGCGTTAGATCCAGGTCACGTGCTAGGTCTGCTGTTAGTGTCCTGATTCTGTGAGAGCGAAGCCCGTGGGCCGTGAGCTGGTAAACGCTGGCTTAGTCGGTTTGTGTGGGTTCAGTGTTCCATTCTGCCCGCCTCTGTGAAGCTCTCTGGAAACACGTCATTTGCGCACGTGTGATGTAAACACATGGGAAGAGCGCCTCCCCGTAGACAAGGAGCCCCATCCCTGACTGGCCCTGCCTCCTGTGCACGGCGACCTCCGGCAGAGGTGCCCCGGTCCCTCTGTAACGACCTCTGTAGCCCCTTAGGGAGACTCCTGTCCTGGCGACCTGGCCGTGCAGGCGTCGGCAGCCCGCTCCTCCGGCTCTCCTGCCTGTGGCTCTGAGTCCTGCTGTAGGCACACCGCCTTCCGGTTGGGAAAGGGACTTCCTCCGCTCTGTACAGAGGAAGCCAGGGCGTTACTGGAAGGCGGGGAAAGCTGTGTAGCCAGGAGCAGACATTTACTGACACTGAGAACGGCTCTGGTGAGGGGGCAGTCTCACGTGCTCAGTCACATGCGTCCTCCAGCTGTTGGGCTCCGTGTCCGTGTTTCTCTGGGGTGGTACACCTGTGCATGTAAGCTGTTAAATATTTTACGTGTGTTTGCTTTGGAATAAAACCTGTCCCCCAGCCCAGCGCAGGCCTCAAACTTGTATGCTGTGTAAATATACAGGACAGTGGTTAGAAAGAGATTGGCGTGTCCTGGACTGACAGGTGGCAAGTGAGTCTGAACCTCTTGGAGGGTGGTGCTGGGAGGCAGTGTCTGATGGAGTCCGCGGGAGCCAGGCTCGTCCCTTAACCCTTAGTTGATCGAGTGTCCTCGTAGTCCCTTTATAGCACAGCCAAACCCCAGCACATGATCTCTGGAGCACACAGTGACGTCTGACTTAGCTGTGGCCGTGATTGGGACTCGAACCCTTGACTTCTGTAGTTAACTCCCACTTGTTTTATGAGTTACAGTGCTTGTTCTCTGGACCACCAGATTTTTGAGAATTCGATGGCAAATGTCCTTAGATTCTGCCCCTCATTGAGTGAACATGGCCTGGAGGAGCGTCGT